AAGTAATCAACGAAAGAAGGCCTTTCCAACAGTGCTTCTTAAGATGCACCGTAGGAAAATTTAAATTAGTAGTTCTTTTTTATTATTCGGCGAAGCGCGCGCAAGCATTGGCATGACGCACACGCACCCCCGGTTGCTATAATTCATCAGATCAGTGCTGCATTCGCGTAGCTGCATTGGGCTCAGCGAGAACGTGTCTCGGACGCTGAATTTAGGCGCAATTCAAAACATGATTCAGCAACTTTTGATTTGAAATTGAGATCCTAGAATGCTGTTTTTCTCAGAATATACAGCTGAAGCTGAGCTGAAACTTTATCAGGTTAGTTGTTCAGTACCCTTTTTTAGATTTTGAGCACTTTTGTTGCTTCAAACGAACAAAATGCACAAATTACAAATGATGGACTATAACTTTAAGATATTAAAGGCATACATTTTAGGCATTTTTGCAAAATGAGACGGAACTGGGCATAGGCTGTTGCAAAAGACCAAATGGGGCCATTGTGGGTTTGTTTTGATTTTGGGATTTATTGATATTTTTAATCTTTGGTATGTCCACTAGCTGCACATATATGTATGTTACAGAAATAATACAAAAATTGTGGAACAAAATTTTTTTTGAGGAAATACAATTGGCATCTTACAAAACTCGAAATTTGAAATACCTGTTTCTTATTAGGCCAAAAAAAAAAAAGTCGGTCTCTGGTCAGTGCGCGCGTCGATTTTAATCATGCGCGTCAATCTTTTTTTCCCCCAAAATGTTCCGCGGTAGCTCCAACAGCGCCCTCTATTTCTGCACCTCCTCAATTTTTCTTTACCAAACAGAAAGAGCACCAAGGAATGGGAAAGTGCACCAAGGCAAATGATCGAAAGCACCAAGGCAAATTATGGAGGACACCAATGTACATGAGGACACCAAAAAAGCAAAATAGTACCACACCTTGTCTGTACAATCCAAGCTTGAAGAAAAAAAAAAAAAGCCGCGTGGCCGCGTCAATTCCGGAACTTCAGTCTGACCAGAGACCGAATATTTTTTTTTTTTGGCCTTACCTTAGTTTTTTTTTTACATGCCAATCAAGTGAACTTGAAATGGCCATAACTTGTCAGTGGAAAGTCCAATTAAGGGCAGCAAGGAGTATTGTAAGGAGAAATTTTATTCTCTTTCCTCATATCCGCAAACCCTCATTTCGACCTCTAGCCAATTTCTATCTTATTTTGCCAGAACACTTCACAAATGTATATTGTTTCGTCCTTGATGTTGGCATTGTTATGTCTATTTTTTTACAAAAATCAGTTTTGGAGTTAAGGATCCAAATATTGCTTGGACCCCTCTGAAAATAACCTCGGCCCATTTTCATGGCTCTATATACTAACTACAGTATTGACCGTTCTGTGCTAACAGTGCTTTCATAGAAATTTTGCGCGAGCCCAGTCATGCCAGTATTAAAGCGCAGAACCCATCGGATGTACATGCGCTCAAAGCAAAATTCCTTGCAACCTGTGAAACATGCAAACTACTCAAGTCAGTTGGATTCTTCTGTGATGGTAGGCTAGCCATTAAAATTGGGCCTTACATTGTAGCTCCAGACATCAGTCAAATGCATATAGTGTGCACTTTGGTTTCTATTTCAAATTTGGCAATATTCTTAAACACTTTGGAAGATGATTTGTTATCGTTTTGAGCAATTTGCTTATTACTTTGTATTTATTGCCATATAATTGTGGGCCACTGATACCATCTGGATTATGGAAAACGAACTGTTACATTTCTTTACTTATACACTATTTTACTCCGGTGAACAAGAACTGTACAGCAAAGTTGACACCAATAGAGTTGTAAAACGCGTGAACAAGGAAATTAGAGGCACAAACTGTAGAGTGGGCTAGGATTGTGTCTGTATATTAAAAATTAACCCTAACCCTCCAGGGTACTTTGGCTAGAAACCCTGCCAAATGCAGCCAAATGCAACATTTGTCTAAGTGACAAAGCCTGCCAAGTGCAGCGAGATCCATCAGGTCAAAAGTCTCAAGGTCATACTACCTCAGAGTCTGTGGTTGCCGAATGCAGCAGGATACAACTGTGGCATTGTTCAAAGGGACTATCTCTTATTGTTTCAGAGCTGGCCGTTCATGCACTGGTGTTGGCAGCTGAATGCATCAAAGTGCACCAGACTGTTCCACCTGATGCACTGTGTTGCGTCTGGCAGGGTTAGGGTTAATTAAAGGACTATTAGAACACGAGAGTATTATCAGGATATATGTAAACATGTGCTGGTTTGTTTATTTTTTTTTAGATTGGTAATTTGGGGCTTTGCATATTCATTGTAAAAAAAAATGGCAGAGAGAACTGTCTTGCTGAATAATCTTGCTTTCTTCAAAAGTACATCATGTTGGATATGCCATTGAGTGGTTAGCTTCACAGGGTTTTTGAAACATCACTTTCTTATGGCCATCAGTTCAAAGTCATGTTTGTGATTGTAAATGCTCCTTGTTTCAAGTAAGAAAGCAGCATGTTATGTGTGATATTGACTGTATTTATTCAATACCACTTAAAGCTACAGTCCATTATTTGCAACTGTCCAAAAAAATAACTGACGTAATTATTGTTGAAACACATACTTGGTTGAAAGAGTGTAAGGGGACTAAACTCCCTGTGAAATTATTCTTTCTGGCATGCTGTCATTTTGAAGAAGTCAACAAAAGAAGGCCTTTCAAACGGTGCGTCTAAGTTCTTTTTTATTTGGCGAAGTGCGCGGAAGCATTGGCACGCCGCACACACGCGCGCAGTTGCTATAATTCTTCAGATCGGTGCGCGGCATGGCACAGCTGCAATCTCCTCAATGAGAATGTGTCTCAGACGCTGAACTCGGGCCCAGTTCAAAACTTGATTCAGCAACTTTTGATTTGAAATCGAGGTCCCAGAATGCTGTTTTTCTCGAAATGTACAGCTGAAGCTGAGCTAAAACTTCATCAGGTTAGTTGTTCAGCACCCTTCTTTCGACTCGATTATGAGCATGTTTGTTGCTTCAAACAAACAAAATGCACAAATTACAAAATGATGGACTGTACCTGTAATGTAAAACATATTCCCTTTAAAACTTATTCTTGATTCCTGATCAAATCCACATCTCAGCATTATTGGTAAAACATCAAGAATATGAGCTTAAAAGTCTTTTAAATAGTCATGGCCAACATGTACATATACAGCACACACAAAAATTGAAATTGGGTTAAGGCCAAAAAAAAAAAAATAGTCGGTCTCTGGTCAGCGTACGCTTCACTTTTAACCATGCGCGTCAATCTTTTTTTTTCTTCAAAATGTTCCGCGGTAGCTCTAACAGCGCCCTCTATTGCCGTACCTCCTAATTTTTTTTTTTACCAAAGAGCACCAAGGAATGGGAAATTGCACCAAGGCAAATGATTGAGGGCACTAAGGCATATTATGCAGGACACCGATGTACATGAGGACACCAAAAAAAGCAAAATAGTACCCCACCTTGTCTGTACAATCCAAGCTTGAAAAAAAAAAAAAACCAAAAAAACGCGTCGCCGCATCAATTCCGGAACTTTTACCAGAGACTGAGTATTTATTTTTTTGGCCTAACAGAGAATGTAGTACTACCAGTTGATGATATCAAACAAAATCGGCAAAGTTTTTTGTCTCTTTTTTACACTGCTTTCGAAATGAAAATATGTAAATAATTAAGTAAGATAATTGCCCACTTCCGGCTTGCTTGTTAATAAAAAATTCAATTCCGTACATGTATATATTGCTTTTAAATTGTTGTGTGTGTGTGGGTGCGTTTGTTTCTGTATTCAATAGGGTTTAACAATAGAGGACAATAGGGTCCCAAATTCCTGAGAGGTCCCCAATTTGGATTCATGCACAAAACATATGGGAGGTCTTCCTAAAAAGTTGTTGTACAAACAACAGAGGGACAATAGGGGTCCCTGATTGCAGGCAGATACACATTTTTATGTGTAAACAAGGATTACATTCACTGTGTGGACTTCCGAACAAAAGAGGTCCACATAAACCAGGTAGCAGTGACATTGTGTGGACCTGCCCACGTCCACTCAAGGTTTCCCCCTCTCTGGAAAACAGGTTTTAGGGGGATTTTTGGTTGGTTTATCTGTGGCAAAATCAAGAGAAACACTGAAGGGAATCCTAGGAAAAAAAATGGGTTGAAAGAGTTTTCACAGTGTGAGTAAAATGAGTTTTTTTCAAGGGTTTTTCTTAACTACACGAAAACAAAAGAATGTCCACACTAGGTATGTAACGTAAACGTGTGTGTGGGTGTGCAAAACTGATAAAAACCTTGTTTGGAGTTTTTCTATAAGGATGAACTTCACATTTGTTTTGGTCAGGATGATCCAATTTCTTGGTTTTTTTTTTAAATTCACGTCATTTGATTAACCTCCCAGACTAGTGGCTTAAGTAACAAAGGAGAGGGGGGGGGGGGGGGGGGGGTTATAACAGATTATCACCCGTACGTGAGACCCCTGCACCTTTCTTTCCCCCTCTGGGCTTCAACTAACAGCTATGGAGATGATACAATGAAAATGGTAAATTTAATAGAGCATGCGTTTATGCACAAATTGCATATAGCTCTATGATTTCTCATTTCATTAATTTATAACAAATGAATTAATGAGTGCATGCAGAAGTAAATTTGTGGTGAAATATTACCTTTTGGCATGTAATTTGAATCTAATGTCAGGCAGTTTACCAGGCTGTCACCAGCTTATATAGTAAGCTTTATATCTGTAACATCAAATCATAATTATTCAAGGTAACATGCAAATATCTTACAACTACTCCCACCTCCTCCCTCCCGAGACAAAGGTGGTAGGTGGAGGACTCCGTAGATAATTCTGGCAAATTGATTTTTTTTTTCGCTGCTGTATAAACAACTTAGACGGGTACCCTAACAACACAACTACAACGTGTATCTGAAAATTCGATAAGTCGGGGATACAGTCCATCAGCGACAAGAAAAAAAAAGAGTGATCGGTGCAAAACAGACAATTTTTGTGGTGTGCATGCTGTAAACCTTTGAAACTCAGGACCTTGTCAATGTCATGATTAATAGAAGAAGCTAAGCCTACATAAATGATTCAGTCTTTCGCATTCAATCTGCATCTCTCTGGTAAGACAATGGATTTAAAATTTTAAATGGGACATAACCTTGCAGTTGCACAAGTTGCAGAACTGCAAGTGCAAGTAGCCTAGCTTGAGTATTACTCCAGCTGACATTTTTGCTCCATTTTCATTCACATGTGAATGTATATGGAGCATGTCAGCTGGAGTTACTCAAGCTAATCGCAAGTTGCATTACATGTACGTTCGTGATGTTGTGCGCTTTCTTGCAATTCACGCAATCTTAAGAATGAGCGCGCATTCTTATTCTTAAAATTGAGCGCGCATTCTTAAGAATGAGCATGCACTGTGAAGAATGAGCTCTCATTCTTAAGATTGCATGGGAATATCATGTGCGCAATTTATGAATTTTGCGCAGTCTTAACAAACAATCACTTTCAAACATTGCACGGCATAATTATGTTAAATGAAATGTATAGCGGTTAAAGGGAAACGAAGTGGCTATCGTTACGGCACTCGTTGTTTAGCGCCCTCTACGATATTTTTTTGATACGCACGCAGGTATATAATTATTTGTTTCCACACGTTTTGTCGAGCAGTGGGCCAGCTCAGCCGATAGAGAGTAGGATTTTGCACCGCGAGGTTGCGGGTTCGAATCTCAGTTTTGCACTCGAATTTTTTTCCTTTTCTAACCTGAGGCTTTGGAGGATTTTTTTTAAAAGGGAAATAAAGTCCGAATTTCATAAAGTTCAAATTCACTTTTTTCCTTCTAATTTTATATTTTCTTGTCATGTTTTTTATAAAAGTTGCCAGGTTGCAGTCTACCGTAACGATAGAAAATGGGAAATGCGTTACGGCTGCCGTAACAATAGCCACTGCGAAAGGGAAATAATTCATATAACGTGGAAAGAAAATGATTTATGCTTCTGATTTATGTTCTGTACTCGTAGTCTTATAACTACAATGATTTGAATCAAATTAAACCTGTTATTGCTTTTTTCTGCCCACTATGGGAAGTTTTGTAATAACCGGTCATACTAAACAGCGTCAACACAGCGTCAACACACTCCAAAGCGTCAACACAGCGTCAACACAGCGTCAACACATCCAAAATGCATTAAAATTGACAAAAGCAGTATGTAACCCATACAGTATGGACAGAAACAAGATTTGTGCTTAAAATCAATAGGTTAAACGTCTGAAAATCGCGATTTTTAGTTCAAGAAAATTGGCTCTCCGTGCCGCTCCGAAATCGGATACCGAACACCCGCCATGTTGCCTCAGTGGCAGCGCGGACCATACCATTATTCTAAAGGGTGATAGCGTTGTACAATAAACCAACAGAGAGGGACGCGGCCGTAAAGTAAAACCAAAACATAAACACAACTCACAAAATAATGATCTACCACTTCTCCGATCCTTAGTCCTCACACAGATCTGGTATCCCTCTGTCTAGTCTGCAGCAAGGCGCCCTCTGTTGTTTATGACAAGATAATGTCATTACCTACACACCCCTACTTGAAATGGTGTAGTCCAAGCTTTGTGCGAAGTCAAGATGGCGGACAACGGCCGTGCAAGTTAAGGTCATTTTTTTCGCGTGAAAATACGATATTTTTAACAACGAAATGGAAACTCAATCCAATGGAAATTCTCTTTTATTGTATGTTTCACAATTATATGCCCTTTTTGTCAATTCAGAATGTGTTTTGGATGTGTTGACGGTGTGTTGACGCTTCTGTCATGTGTTGACGCTGTGTTGACGCTGTGTTGACGCTGTTTAGTGCGACCCGTAATAACAGAGGACTGGGAACTAGTCTGCATGGTCTGGGAAGTGCTTTGTTAAGGCTTACAAGTTACAAGTCCCTGTATCACTATCAGTGTATGTATCATATGCATGCTGAGAGAACACATGAGGAACACGTATACATTATACATTGTACATGTCCAGAAGCTGCCAAAATTGCTCTTTTGACTAGATAGAATCCAGCTCTGCGGCGTAATGGAGGGGTAGGGAACAATTCATTGGTGGCAATTTAAGTGGCAAATAGCATTAGATTACAATAAATAAATAAATAAATAAAGCGCTATGGGATGTCACAGTATTCATTCTCATTCTTCACATTCTTCATTCTTTTACGTTCCCCCCCCCCCCTGGTGCTTTTGTTATCCCCAATATCAGAATTCTTTCCACTAGTCTCATTTTTTCCCCGGTCCCCCGAATACGTGTATACTTTCATAACATTTTCATCGTTAAATCTTTTCCTAGGTACATATGTAAGTGACCTTGCATTACAATAGTATAATTATTAAGAATCAGTGAACGAGGATGCAGCTAGACTTGCCAAGCGCAGCTGGTGCTCGGCATCGACAAGACCATTGTCTTGTCGCACATTCTTAAAGGGAAAATACAACATTTGCAAACATCAAAAAACGAAATGATCAACTTATCACGAAATATCTCACTATATTGTTAGGGAATGACAGTCTGAAGCATCCATTAAAATCGTGGCTCCTGGTGAGCTGACATTTTCAAGAAAACTTGTATTTTTCCAACGCTGGTCGGCCGACCAGCGTTGGAGAAAACTGGCTTTTTTTCAAAAACTGCTCCTAGTTTTTCATATTTAGTTATTCCGCATTTACTTTGCAATTGTTTACACACCTGCGAAATGGTACAAGCCTGCTAGACTGATTCTCTGACCTTACAATTCCCCCAGTCTATAAATTGCTCCGTTTAATATTAAGTGGGGTCAGGGAACCAGACTACAAGAACATGATTGGTTTTCTTGGTTTTTCCAGCATCTACATGCCCAAAACGTGAAACAAGTCAGTTTAACAATTTTTGCTATAACATGCTAATCCTCCAAATCCAATTATTTCTGAAAATTGCAGCAAAAGCAAATGTTGTACATTCCCTTTAAGAATGTGCGCTCAATCTGGAAGATTTTTTTTCTTCAAAGATTCATAAGAATGTGCTGGAAAATTAGGCTGGAAAATTTGCCTTTGAAAATTTCGAAATTTTCGGGGGAAAAAAGGCTGGCGCAAAGTGGTTAATATCGTTAACTTAAAGAAAGCTGGCGCCTGCCAAATACCCACTGCCTTGATTGAGTGGCCTGGAAAACAAATTAACAATCACTTATGAGGAGTTCAAGATCATTCATTGTTGCTGTCCAGCTCTGAAATGTAATTGAGAATTTCGATTGACTTTAACTAAACTATACAGAGGGCATACACATGTAGGCGTATCAACCAGAACATTTAACGGAGCATATGTGCATTATAATGATTTAATTATTTTACAATCCTTTTTGCCGAATAAATTGGAATAAATATGCTTTAGACTTTATTTCTGTAGGAATAGCACAAAACCGTATCCAAAACCATGCAACAGGCATTATGCCTTCATTTGTATATTTTTTCCATTGGTAAAATCAATATGCAATGTTGGTCATGCGATGCAGTGGGGTCATGCGATGCGTCGCAAACGGCCACGCTGCGTGGTCGCGTGTAGACCTTTGTAATTAAAGAAAGTAAGATTTGAGGCTTTGCATGTTGGAGATACTAAATAATGAAAGGTTTGCGGAAACACCATGTGCGAATAATTTCTCAACTAAGAGAATGGTTCTGAAATGACTTCGCCTTTTGCTACTTAAGTTTTCACTTTCTTAGAGTTTAGGCACTCTCCTGAAGACGGTCAGAGCATACAGACCGGAACGTCGAGTTTATACCTCTGGTTCTTTTCAGAACCATTCTCTTAGTTGAGAAATTATTCGCACATGGTGTTTCCGCAAACCTTTCATTATTTAATTAAAGAAAGAATTGATGTATCACAGGTATCACAGGTGTATTAGAATGAGCTATAGCTGCATTAACAGTCGGAGAACGCTACTACGGGTGTCACAAAAAGATTCTGTATCTTGATTGGCCGAGAGCGAGTCACATGGCATTCACTAGTGTTAAACCATTGCTATGACGTCACACTGTTGTTAAAAGTGTGGATTCGGATCTGCGAATCTCTTACACTGCTCACAAAGTGTGGATTCGGAACTACGAATCCACACTTTGAACGGTTACACCTCTATGTTCCGACACCCCTATGTTCCGACTGCACATATTCCTATTCCTAACCCTAACCCTAACACAGTCTTGCGGATTGTCGGAACATAGGGGTGTCGGAACATAGAGCAGTCACTCTTTGAACACGTCGAACAATTTGTTCTCCATTATGAGCATGAAAATAATGTAGGACCGTCTGCGTGAAAATTTGCTTTCCGAAAATTACCAATGCATCTTCACTGTCAGATTCTCCACCGTTACTGCAAAATCTACTTTTAGTCAGAAAGAAATTGTCGTCTGAACTATCCATGTTGACGCAAGGAGCCTATACACACAAAATGGCTTGGTTGTACGGGTGTGGCGATACACATGCTAAACACGCCAGGAAAAAAATGTTGCAACCTGACGCCACTTCTGCGCTTGTGTACACAAAGTCTATGGAGAGTCATTTCAAGTATTTCCTAACAAAATTGGAAACATTTCTCAGTCCCAGATTCATGTCTTATCATCATTTTTGCAACGAATGACCTTCATTGAGATGATATATTTAAGAAAAAAGTGGCGTCAGGTTGCAACATTCTTTCCATTACTTCTGTTGAAGCAATGGTTTAAGTCGAAGAATACACTCGCAAGTGTGGATTCTTAATTTACGAATTCACTCGGCGCTTCGGGCCTCATGAATTCTGAAATTACGAATCCACACTTTCTCGTGTATTCTCCTTAACCTATCTTGCTGTGCACTGCCAAACTTACTATACCCGTAGCAACCAAAGTATCCATAGCAACCAAAGTACTATACGCAATGTGTACTATACGCATTGTGCGTTGCGCATTGCGCGTATTGTTCCCAAGCGCTAGCGCTACAGAGCTAGGTTCAAACATTTCGTGAAGGGGTAGTTTAGAAAAGTGCAAGTTAATTTTCAGCTAATTTTGTATTCAAATCGAAGTAAATTTTAATAGTGTTCAGAATAAATTAATCACCTATTGCTTAAAAACAAGCAGAATCTAGGGGAGAGGTGTTGTAAAACAAATTACAAATATTGAATGTTTTATCTCGTGGTGTAGTAAAAGTAGCCTCCCTCGGTGATCCATGGAGCATTTTATTTTCCCTTGGCTTCGCCTCGGCAAAAATAGAATGCTTCGTGGATCACCTTGGGAGGCTAGTTTTACTACAGTACACCATAAACAAACGTGCTAGTACTGTATGACCATACTGTATGTAGTATTGAGTTGGTAGCTACAGTGTACTACCGGACATCCACAATAATTCGGTCTTTGAATTTTTTTTTTTTATTGGGGGGGGGGGGGAATTTTTCCTTTCTTTTGCTGGACAATTTTTTGGGTTATTTTCATCTTGTTTTATATCATCGTGGTACTTTGATGTTAATTGTGGGGATAATCCTAACTCTTTTTTTTCTTTAACGGGGACATTATTTTTTTTAGCAGTTATACATGTACATGTACCTCTGCCATTTTTAACATACGTGTTTATTGTTAAATACATTTTTTGTAGATATTTATACCGGTAGATTAAGATATTTGTTTGTGTAGCCAGAGGTATTGGAATTGAAGGCCTTTGGGCCGCGCTTTTTACAATGTTTAAGGTTCATTTTTTGAATTCCGGGCATATGCCTCTGGCTTTCGTGTTTGTTTTCTTGTTTAAAAAAAAAAAAAAATTTTGTTAATGTTTGTTGTTGGTACCGGTAGTGGTTTTTAATGCCGAATATATAATAATAATAATAACTTTGATGTTTTTTTTTTGACATCTTGTGAAGAGGACTTAAAAATGTACAGTCAAGTGCTGCATATAGGCCTAAATACCCGGTACATGTACATGTAGCTGATGAACAAGTCTTTAGATAATACCTAGACTGACCATATAATTAATTATACAACACCTGAATAAATCCCCGTCATCTGATTGGTGGATCGTTGATCACATGTCATTGAATTATTCGCACGGCGCGCGCGTGGCGCGCAGCGCACAGTGCAATGGAAGTTCTATTAGTTCTGTTTTAAATCGAGATAAATTGAATATAATTGTTCTCAACCTGTTGAACAGTTTGCATTAATATAAATATGATGAACGTGTCGAACTTTTAAACAGTTTTTAACCTGAATAAATTGGCTATTAAAAGTCAACCAATCAGATGACAAGGATTTATTCAGGTGTTATATAAAACAAATAATGAATGTTTCACTTTCGTGCAATGGAAATAATAATTTCATTCGGTGACAGATGAAATGTTCCATTCCACTCGGCTTCGCCTCGTGGAATGGAACATTTCATCTGTCACCTCATGAAATTATTCTTACCATTGCACTCACAAACATTCATTATTTGTATACCATCATACTGTACTAACAGGGTCAGTATAGCCTTATATGCATGCATGCGATGCATGGTGGCATAGGAATGGCAGCCAAGTTGCAACTCTGCTATCATATAATGATGGGTTTCTCATGTGACGTGTGGTTGCTAGGCAAAATTTGTGTACAGTCAATATAATCCCCGTGTTGCTATGGGCAATGGGTGTCTAATTAAAAATGAGTGTTTTGCCAACGGTTGATGTTCCTGCACTCAAGTAATTTGAAAAAAAAAAAAATTTACAGGTTTTGTAGTTTCTGGTGCATGGGATTGATCTAGTTTCCACTGGATCAGAAGTGTAGGCCTACCGGTATGTATTTTAATAACAGCCACAAGTGCATTGTAACCAGTCAACTGGTCTACAAACTTGTATTTAATTTCTTTCTAAAATGGATATTTCTGTACTTGACATGCTTGAGGACATAAATTTGCTTTTAAAAAATTTTTTTTTTTGGGGGGGGGGGGGGAGGGATTGCATGATACTTTGTATTTTCTTGGGGATGCCGTAGGACATGTAAGATACAGACTTTGCAGTTGCATACATTGTAAACGTAAACATTACCGTTGAAGTGCATTTGTACCTGTACACTTTCCAATTTGCTTTTTTCCCTCTTATTTTCGTCATCACAGAGAAACTATCCACACGTACTGGTAACCGAGCAACTGAATAATCAGGATGACCTCCAGTGGAATGACTCGGGCCGCTGACAGCCTGCATCCAGGTGCAGCAACTCCCAGGATCACACGCGTATGAGCAGCGGGGAAGCCACACCATGGGGACCGGTGCATCCAAAGATACTGCCGCAACGCTGATGCCAAGCCACCACCACAAGATTAAGAAAAACAGTAGCAGCACTTGGACTTCTAAGTCACAGCCTCCCAAGAAAGGTACAAAAACCTGGTGGTTTTAGTTCTCTTTTTCCTTGCTTTTTGTTTTTTTTGGTTATTTTTTTCCAGATTTTACTATGTAGTTTCTTCTGTTGTTGCATGAAAGGCAAACCTCGTTTAAAGGGAATGTACACCATTGGTTTTTGCTGTAATTTTCAGAAATGAACTATTTAGGGGGTTAGTATAAAAGATCAAATTTTGTTACACTGACATGTTTGAATTTTTTTGTTCGAAAATGCTTGAAAAACCAAAAAAACCCCCAAAATGTTCAAGTAGTCTGGTTCCCTGACTCCACCAAAGATAAAATGGATCAATTTCCAGATGCCGGAAAATTGTAAGGTAAGGGAACAAGTCTAGCTGGCCTACACCCGTTCATGAATATGTAACCAATAGCAAACAAAATTTGAACTGAATAAAAAATGGTAAATTTGGAGCAGTAGTTGCAAAATAGTTAGGTTTTTCCAACGGTGGTCGGCCGACCACCGCTGGAAATGTATACAAAAATACCATCTTCTTGAAAATGACTTCACACCAGGTGCCATAATTTTACAGGATGCTTTAGACTGTCATTTACCAACATCCTAGTAAGGTATTTCGTAAAAACTTGGTAGTTTTATTTTTCAATGTTTGCAAATGTTGTATATGGCCATTCTATAAATTTGGGGTCCACTTTTTTTCCCGTCCCTGTTACATCTGACATCTATGATTGTATAATTCCGATGCCCTTTAACACAAACTGCATGTTATTTTATGATACATTGCTTTTTATGCCCCGCGGCGAAGCCGAAGGGGCATACTGTTTCCGCCTTGTCCTTCCGTGGGTGGGTGTGTGGGTGGGTGTGTGGGTGCGTGTGTGGGTGGGTGTGTGGGTGGGTGTGTGGGTGCGTGTGTAAATACCGGCAATCGTGGACTTTCACTAGGATACACACCTTCAAATTGTGGACGCACTGGGACCGTGGACGTCCACGGTTACTTTTGCTGTATTTTTGGAATATCTTTGGCTAGAAGAGGGCGCTCTATCATTCCCCAACAGTTTTAACGATAGTCCACGTTTTGGCGGTGAAGATCAGGAGTCGGTGCGTGAAAGTATGAACTACATTCAGCTCGTGTGACAAAAAAATGGAACGTACTCGTCCCTAACTGTAGGACGCCCTCAAGCGGTACGTGCGTGGCGCGCGCGCTGTACCGATCCGGGCCGCTGCGAGCTCGAGCGCGCCGAGCGCGCAAGTTGGCACCGTGCCATGCCATTTCCCGCGCTTGCAGGATGAAACACGTCCACGATTCGATTGTTCAGATCGCTGGACGCCTGCGATGATTTAACGATTATAGGCAGATAGAAGGCACATCAGGTTTGTAAAAAAAACATTGTATTTTCTATGCAAAAACATTTTTTAGGCCTAGTTTACTCATGGTTTTCTTTTTATCACATCACGTTAATATTTCGACGCTCAGTATAGGCCTACTTGACCTGATCACGCGGCGCGGTCCCGTCACTATCAGTACAGTCACTACATCACCCGCACGTACGTAGGCCTAACAAGTACTGAAGCCAATACTGCACTGCCTAACGTTTAATTAGACTAGTCGAACAAACATGGCTTGGCGTGAATATTGTCCTAACAATGAGCGATTGGACGTTGTCCAAATTTATGTTAGAAATTTGATTTTGGCAGTATTTTGCTTGTATGTTTTGGTTTTTGTTTTGATCATAGTGTTCAGTATTTCGATTGCTTTTGTGCGTTAAAGTATAGCCTGCCCTGCATGCGGCCTAGCTGCATTGTAGCCTAGCCCTAGGCGGCCTACTCGGTTAATTTGGAAAGGTGAGCAAGTTACGGACACAAATTCAGGTAGGACTAGGCCTACTCCGGTCGGGTTCCAAAACTAGATCTAGCGATGTCGCTTAACTGTGCATACATCGCTTAGGCCAAAAAAAAAAATGCTTCTGCTTCCAATTACATGCCTTTCAAAAATAGGGTCGGTCGGTCGGAATTTTTTTTTTTTGCCATTTTTTTTTTATGCAGATTGAATGGGGTATCCAATTATATGCGAAGTTTTAGCCTGAACTATTTCCGTTGCACTACGAAAGCTATACACGAAATGGCAACAAAAAGTGAATAAAACCTACCTATAATTATTGTCAATATATTTACGTTCGATAATTTAAAACAATAATGGAAAATTCAGGTCGTTCGCACCATATGCACAACGCTAGTCAAGACGCGGGGAGCTGGCCAAAACTCCGAGGTGTGTGATGCGAGCATGTGGGGCGAGCGGCCCGCCATGGGCCGACAGACCTGTTTTCACGGTCGAAAATGTCGGGAAACACGCTAGTCAAGACGCGGGGAGCTAGCCAAAACCCCGAGGTGGGTGATGCGAGCATGTGTGGCGAGCGGCCCGCCATGGGCCGACAGACCTGTTTTCACGGGCAAAAATTTGGGAAACACGCGGCATGTATCACTCCAAATACGAGTAGTGCAATCTCATAATGAACTCTTGAACCCAGAAAATACATACACAGACAAGCTAGATCATTTCTGTGAATTAATTTGCAAAAACGTTCTTTCTCCATCGGTGCTTTCTTGGCATTTTTACGATGTCGAATCCGACCAGTTGACAGTGCACGTGTTTGTAGCCATGCTATCGATCACATAGCCGTGCACAGACTAGTTACCGCAATTTCATCATATCTTCTAAATTGGCGCGGCGGGAACCAGTCATCGCCGCATTGCACTGGGTTTACGCACGTGATTAGACCGTGACATCGAATTGTGAAGTTTAAAATTATATCGCGAAGCGAATTTGTAAAAATAACGAAGGTTTCTTTTGAAAAAATAGCGAATGTAAGTAAGAAAACAAATAAATACAAGCTTTGTTGACTAAAAAAGGGTTGTTGAGAGGTATTTTATGAAGACAAAAAAAGACATTTATTCAATCATTATTATAATTTTTTTTCTGGAATTGCAGATAACATTTTTAGGGTCGCAGCCTTAAAATAGGGTCAGTCGGGTAACTGGAAGCAGAAGTATTATTTTTTTGGCCTTAATCAAGCGACGATGGCGCAAGGCCGAATAAAAATAAATGTTTCTCTCGTCCGGTTTTTTTGATAAAAAGGAGGAGAGGGGCCTTTTTTTTTTTTTCAAGATGGCAGCCATTTTAAAATTTCCTGCAACCGTTGGTGTTTCAACTGTTCAAAGACACTTTTAAAATGAAGGACAAGTTGGACAAGAAAACTGAACATATTAGTGTCATTTAGAGTATACTGTCACTGAAACTTCGACTCACATATTTCGCAAGTATTTATTTTCCGATGAATTTCTGGACTTTTTCGGTGTCTTTTTACTGCGTTTTCAAATTTTTTTTTTTTAAATCCAGGCGGCCTCCAAAAAGGAAGCAGGCGGGGATGTGAAACATGTTTTTTTTTCACTTTGCTGAACTTACGTGTGCAATACATCATTTTTTAGTTATGTTTTTTTTATAGCTCCGTGAATGAGCTCCACAAGTTCAGCCGGCAAAAAAATGCAACGTGAAAAAAATGGAGTGTTACTTTTATGTACATGTTCATATTGAATGTCTTCATTGATCTATTGCATTGGCGGATCCCGGGGGTGCTAGGGGGGCGTGCGCACCCCCCCCCCCCCCCCCCCCGGCAGTGAACGAAATTTTGTAAAATAAGGTCATTTTGGTCATTTTTCATTCGAATGAGCTGTTGCGCCCCCCCCCCGCAAACAACCTCAGCCCCCGGCAAATAACCTCTCTGGATCCGCCACTGTATTGGATATAAACTTTAAAAATAATGAATTGCAGCTGCCACGGTAGATTTTCGATCTCATCGCACAGGTCTCTGGTACTCCACACCTCGTACATGCAAAATGATTGGAGCCCGTTGAGTACCCAGACTCGGCACTAATGGGTACTCGGCGGGCTCCTATCATTTTGCGCGTACCGGTGCTTGGGGTACGGTGCCAGGGACCTGTGCGATTAGATCGAAAATCTGCCACGGCAGCCGCGATTCCCGTTGCGATGAATCGCACATTTTTCGAGATATTTTTAAAAACTTTCCCTACTATAAAGTTTTTTTTTTTTTCCACTAGATTGACGAATACATTCAAAATGAACATTTATGTACATAAAGTAAGTTTAGCAAACGCTCAAATTTTTTTTGTGTTAACGTTTTTTGCCAGCTGAGCTCGTGCGCGGAGCTTTAAAAAAACATAACTAAAAAATGACGTCTATTGTACACGTCAACGTCGCTTGATATGGCTGTGTAGGATCTTTGGTTGTGTGTGCTGCCATGCTGCATTGTAAATGTCATCAACATAAGCTAGGCCTAGGCCCAAGCTAAGACCTACTTAGCGATTCATGTCGATTATAATGTGACGGTCGGGGTAGCCAGGTATATGTAAAATTGACATGCCCATTTGCCGCAGATATGGCTCCTGTCCTGTCATGCTGTTCTGGACCTCGTGCGCAGGGGACTATTTTTTTTGCAATGTTTTTTTTATAATTTTTTACTCAAAATAATGACTTGGACCAGAAAGTAATACGTTAATGATAATTTCAGAGACTTTTCAGAAGACAAATTATACATGTAGGACAAATTGAAAGAAAACTGCAAAATTTGTTTGACGTTTGGATCAATTGGCCGATTTCGCTTCAGTACTGCCTATTTATGTGCATATATTCAATTTTATCACTAAAAGATCAAATTATTTATAAGCAGCAAAATTTCCGTTGATCTTCTCCTGTTGGTTATTTTATATGTGTTGTGCAAAATGTAGGCTAACTCCATGCACACCCATCTCGATCACTGTGAATGCATTTCATACTGTACTTTCGTATGAAGAACTTTGTACATGAAACCCTATTGACAAATTTGTGA